TGCATGGTAGTGGGTGCTGTAGTTCCAGCTACTCAGAATTCTGGCTGAGGCAGGAGGATCATTTGAGCCCAGGGGTTTGAGGTTACTATGAGCTTGGCTGAAGCCACACTATAGCCTGGGCAATAGTGTGAGAATCTGTCTCAAAAAAAAAAAATAGATAAATATAAAGAAAAAGAAAAATTAATATTTGACTTCATCTATTCTTTTTATTAGTTGATAAATTATTTTACATGAGTTGGTGACTTTTCTTTTTCAGTAAAAAGAAGATGAAGGGGTCCTTTTTCTATACTCTGGTTTTTATTGTTAACTTTACAGAAATGGTTTCTGGTTCTTTTTTAGTTTTCTATTACCAGGAGATTTTTTTTTTTTTTTTTTTTTGAGACAGAGCCTTAAGCTGTCACCCTGGGTAGAGTGCCGTGGCATCACAGCTCATAGCAACCTCCAACTCCTGGGCTCAAGCGATTCTCTTGCCTCCGCCTCCCACGTGGCTGGGACTATAGGCACCTGCCACAATGCCCAGCTATGTTTTGGTTGCAGCCGTCATTGTTTTTTGGCAGCCCAGGCTGGATTTGAACCCGCCAGCTCAAGTGTATGTGGCTGGCGCCTTAGCTGCTTGAGCTACTGGCGCTGAGCCAGGGGATCTTTTTTCCATCAAACTTAATTTCACTCTAATCTATTACAGGATACTTTAGGATCAGGATATAAGATCTTTTGTTTAAATAATTTGTAGCTCAATTCACAATTGCCAATATATGAAATCAATCCAAGTGTCCATCAACACATGCATAGAACTGTGGCATACGTACACCATGGAACACTATTCAGCCATAAAAAGATGGTGACTTTACATTTTTTTGTATCAACCTGGATGGAGTTAAAGAACATTCTTCTTAGCAAAGTATCAGAAGAATGGAAAAGGAAGTATCCAATGTACTTAAATGTAATATAAAACCAATAGAAAAACAACTACACATCCCTAGGAAAGAAAAATACAATTAAATTTAAGTAGGGGGGAGGGGGAGAAGAGTGAGGGGAGAGGAGGTAGGCGGACTTGTAAGCTCTCACCTAATGGGCACAGTGTAAGGGTATATGGCACACCCCCTGGGTGAAGAGCTCAACTACAACTTGGACTTTGCCTGACAAGTGCAAACATTGTAACCTAACTGTTTGTACCCTCATATTAATCTGCAATAAAAAAATTTGGAAAGTCAATGTCTGTTTCTATGACATTGACGTCAAGATAATAAACTGCTAATTTTAAATAAATCAGTTACCCTCCAATGGGTTAAAAAAATAGGAAAAAGGCTTTGACAATGTTCTTAAAAATACAAAAAGACACAAACTTTAAAAGTAATTATTTTCCAAAGTACACATACTAATCATTTTGGATCATTGTCCTATGCAAATACTGTCCTAAGCAATGGATAGATTCCCAGATAAGTGCATAAAAGTCTACTGGATTCATTAAGGGGTTAAGATAGAAGTTACAATGCCAAAAAAGAAGAAGTTATGATGCCAGGGATAAGTACACACCCACTTCTTGGGACCATGCGTTCATAACCTCAGCTCCAGGGCCAGGCACACATCTCCCACCCAGACTCCTCTCTTGCTGGACCAAGGAAGCAGGAGCTTCCACAGCTCCAGGCTCCCATGTGCGGCTTCCTCCACTGCAAAAACTGAACGCAGAGCTGGTGAGCTAGCACTGGGAAAGCAGAGGTGGGGATGCTGGGTTCCAGGAAGCCCTGGAGATCTCCCAGGGGATCTTCCACGTCAGGCCCCCAACACAGCAATCTCCTATTTTGATTCTCCTTAGGGTTTTGGACTATTTCTCTTCTCTCTGCCCTCCTTGTTACTTCCATCCATAGCTTCTCTGCACTTTGGCTCCCTAAAGAATACCACAAGGTCTTACAGGTTTTACTCGAAGACCTTTCCACCACAGCATATGTATGCGCAGGGGGGTTTCCCTTTGGTTTTTCTTACCAGCAACATTGGAAAAGAGGAAGTTAAAAGGCTGCACTTAAACCCTTTCTGGGCCTCATGTGAAGAAGTTAAAATTATCAAGGATGTATCTTTGACTAAACAAAAAATTACTTATCTATATGAACTTTCCTTTGCCACCATTGAACTTCCCAGGAAGTTCGGGGTCTTCAGAGCAGGTTCTTCATTTTAAAATTCATTTCCATTATGCAATTTTCAGCACCTTAAAACCAAAACTTAGGAAGTGGTTTCATTTTAGGATGCCCAGCATCCACACCTGCTCCCTGCAGCAAACAGGCCCCTAATGAACCGGGAGGACTGTCAATCAAGGATCTCAGCTCCTTCCAGAGAAGTAAACATGGACCAGATCCAAGCTGAGCCAATCTGACTCTCTCTCCCAGGACTCTGAATCCTAAGAAAGGTGACTGAGAATGGAATAAACAAGCTGGGAGCTCATTCATCCCAGGTCTGTGCCCTTACAAATCTGCCAGAAATGCCTAAGCTTGATGGTCCAGGTTCTTATTAGGCAAGCCCTTGAAGCCTTCTAATGAACCTCCTGTTTCATAACTTGGATAGATTTAGGCTCTTCTGCTTATATCCACAGAGCCCTGACTGGTACAGCACATTGCAGCCTTAGCCTTTTTTCACACACACACACACACACACACACACACACACTGTTATCCCCCTAGCTAGGGCTACCCCACAGCTCTTCAGCCCCCTGACTGGCATCACCACTTCTGTGTAGTCCCAGCCTCAACCGGTGTCCTCACCTTAGAGCTGTCTGGCAGGTCTGGTTGTTCCTAGCTGACAACACTGCTTGAATCTAGACAGTTCTATCAGCAGTGGCCTGGATCATCCCCTAATACATAGAAACTACCACAGATAATCTTCCTTAATATTCTACTCTCTAGCTTAATTCTATCTTCACCTCCTTTTCCCCAGACACAAAGAAGAACTCCCCTGCCATCTTACACAGAGGCTCACTCCTCCAGCCCTAAGCTACTCTACAACTGGACACCATCAACATCTCTTTCCTCCAATCTTCTCCTCAGTCCCAAATGCCCTGAAGTCATCCTGATTCTAGGAGGCCCTTTACCATCAACCCTTCCCTTCCAACTAACCCTCCCAGCTCACTCTTCACATTTTTCACCTCCCCCCCATCCCTGCCTCAGGAACATCTAAGACCGGTCAGATTTCTGCTCCTTCCCATCTCTGCACTGTCAGTGAAAACTGCTCTCAGGAAGGTCACCAGGTCCCTTGAAAAAAGCTGAATCTAATATTTTTTTTCAGTCCTTACTCCAAGAGAAAATGGTTTCTGACACTGCTAGCTATCCCAAAATTACAATTTTGCCTTTCTTTTAAAAGGAAATCCCTCACTCATAGTAAAAAGTCCCAAAACAGCCTGGTTCATGCATGTAACCCTAGCACTCTGGGCCTCAGAAGTTCCAGACCAGCTTGAGCAAAAGCAAGATCCCATCTCTACTAAAAATAGAAAAATTAGGCAGGCCTTCTGGCAGGCACCTATAATCTGAGCTACTCAGGAGGCTGAGGCAGGAGAATCACTTGAACCCAAGAATTTGAAGTTGTTGTTAGGCTGACACCACAGCACTCTGGCAAAAAGAGCAAAAGAGTGACACTCTGCTTCAAAAACAATAAAAAGGTCCCCAAATGACAAATGTTGGCATGGATGTAGAGGTGAAAGAAACTCTTTTACACTGCTGGTGGGCCTGCAAACTAGTGTAATCTCTACAGAAAATGTATGGAGATACCTCAAAAAATGTAAAGGAGACCTACCATCTGATCCCACAATCCCACTGCTGTACATACCCAAAAGGAAAAAGGCCATTTTATAGAAAGGACACCTACAGTTGAATGTTTATAGCAGCACAATTCACAGCCTGAAAGACCTGGAAACAACCCAAGTGCCCACCAACAGATGACTGGATTAATAAAATGTACTATATGCATACTATACAGTAATACTGAACCTTAAAAAATGGCGATCTAGTATCTTTTGTGACAATCTTAAGGGAACCTGAAACCATTCCTCTAAGTGAAACAGCATAATAATGGAGAAACAAACACACGAACTTACCACCAAGTTGGAACTAATCAAGCAACCTTTAAGTGCACACATAAAAATAAATCTGGATGATGGGAAGAGGGAGGAGGGGATGGGTAAATCGGCACCTATTAGGTATAGTGAACACTATCTGGGTGAAGCAGACACTTTTAACTTTGACTACATCTGTACAAAAAGCAAATTATGTAAACAAAACCTGTATACCCCCTAATATTCTGAAATAAAATTTTAAATATCTCAAGTAAAGCTCTATTATTTTTAACTGTTATGTGAAATAAACACTATTCTGTGAGCTCATAGAAAAATGAGGCAATTCTGGACCATTCAATTATTGCTAAAATGTAAATTTAAAAAAAGAGAGAGAGAGAGAATCCCAGAAACATATTCCATTCTCCCTTGAAGCTAGATGTGGTCATATGAGGAAGTTCCAGCCAATGGGGTGTGAGCAGAAGTGATGAGCACGATATTTGGGTCATATCCTTCGTGTCCTTAATGTGTCTGTACTTCCCCTTTCTTCTTGTTGCTGGCTAGGATGTAGGATGTGGTCCGGCGTGAGCCCGTATGAGCCACACTGCCCACACTTGCTGTGAGGATGAGACTTATACCCTGGGGATGGGGAGGGGAAAAAGATAAGGACCAGCACCCCAGATGACCTCATGGAGCACAAGGGTTGTAGCCACTGACCTGCCCTTGAGATCAGAGAGGCTAACTGACTGGCTCAAGGTCACAAAGCTCAAAAAACATAGAGCTGGATTAAGACCCAGACCTAAGCTTAGCACTCATTATGGTATGGTATTTGGTAAACCATAAATGATTCTGAGAGGCTGACCTACAACAGCTTCTATTTCCATAGGCTCAGGGTAACTTTTGGCTAACAAATTTTGGTAACTCAGCTCTGCACAGTTTAAAAATATCTCAGGCACTAATGTCTACATACCTTGTTTGGGATTGTCTTTCTCCTCCTGAAGCACTAAAACTTCTCTTTAAAATGCCTGAAACAAGAAAATAAAAATAATGCCACATTGTTTCCTCTGGAAATCTTTTGTTTTATCTAACAAAAAAAATCTAAACAACAAATGTAGGAAGGATGTAGAGAGAGGGGCATTCACACACTGTAGCTGGGAATATAAATTAGCATGGCCCTATGGAAAACAGTATGGAGGTCCTTCAAAAAACTAAAGAATAGAACTTCCATATGATCCAGCAATCCCACTAATATGTACATGTTCAAAGGAAAAGAAGTAAGTATGTCGATATCTTCACTCCCATGTTTATTACGGCACTATCCACAACAGCCAAGCTGTGGAATCCGTGTAACTGTCCATCAGCAAATGAATGGCTGATGGAAAAGTGACACATATATACACAAAATGACATGTTCGATTTTCCATAAAAAAGAACGAAATCCTGTTAGTTGTAGCAACATGGATTCAACCAGAGGATACTATGTTTAGTGAAATAAACCAGCACAGAAAGACAACTATTTCATATGCTCATTCGTATGTGGAAGCTAAAAAAGTTGATCTCCTGAAGGTAGAGAGCAGAATGATGGTTATCAGAGTCTAGAAAGGGAAGGGGGAAAGAAAGATGAAGAAAGGTGGGTTAATGGTACAAACATACAGGTAAAAGGAATAAGGTCCAGAGTTTGATAGCACATTAGGGTGACCGTACTTAATAATGATTTATTGTACATTTCAAAATAGCTAGGAGATTTAAAAGGGCCCCAACACAAAGAAATGACAAATGTTGCAGGTGATTATCTTGATTTAATCATTAAACATTATATACAAGTAGCAAACTATTACATGTACCCCACAAATATGTATAATATTTCATATATTATCAGTAATCCTTAAAAGTAAAAACAAATTTTTTTAAAATTCCCCCAAAGGGAGCTATGTATTCAATAAATGGCATTGTCTGTAAACCCTCTCAATCTTGCTCTAAGACAGGGGCTGCCTGACGTTTTTTGTAAAGAGCAGGTAAGAAATATTTCAGGCTTTGCAAGCCATATTGTCTCTGTCACAACTGAACTCTGCTGCCCTCGTAGTGTGAAAGCAGTCAGACATATGTAAGGAAAAACGTGAGTTTACTTATGGCAAAACAAGCAACAACAATGCTGAATTTCTGTAAGCAAATGTATATCTTGCAAAGATTGTCTTTGTTTATGAAAGCCTCAAGTAAAATATAATGTTACAAATTACTATTTACGTTGACAGGTTTGGTTAAGGGCTTTTTTTTTTTCCAAAGAAAAGGTGCTAAACAAAAAAAATTACCATTATTAATATTTAACAAAATAATAATTAAATATCTGTCATAATCTTCCTAAGCGCTTGTCAAGGCAGCTACAAATTGCCACACACAAATTTAAGGGTCTAGCTTCTCCTTTCCACTTCCCCACAGACCTCCCTTCATTATCACTAGGGATATACAACACTGACTTCATCTCGAAACAGTAATGCACTTCTTCTAGAATTTGCTATGTATGTTTGTATACACGATTATTTCCTGTATATTCACATTTTCCCAATTGAAAACCAAGAACATTTTATCTAACAAGCAGGAATTTACAGGGAAAATATGACAGAGTATTGAAAACTGGGATTGTCCCAGAAAATATGGAAAAATCTAGTCCCATTTTGGTGAATAAATTAAGTTGGAAAAGACAAAGAACACAGCTAAATCCATAGTATTCTATTTCAATCCTTATTGAGACTATTTTAAACTTTCTTTTATAAGATTTTCATAGTGTAGTCACTGAAGAGACAGAATTATTTACACTTAATTTCAGAGTATTTGCATCTATAGTTTTTAATATTTTATCAACTTTTTTAAAAGAATATTTCTTCCTCTACATTTTCTATTTTAACTACTCTCTTCTTTTAGCTTCAGGTTTCTTGAGTGTATTTGATCCTATCTTTCATCACAGTCTTAATTTTATCTTTACCTTTTTCTTTTTCTTTCCCTTACCCTAGTAGGATGATTTTCTTCAATGTTTCAAATTAAGAGTGAAGAGTAACCCTATAGACTGAATTTTTATATTTTTTTATAGTTCTAAAAAGAAATAAAAATATTTCTTTTACTTTAGTATTTTAATACATCCCTAACATTAATGTGCTGGTGGCAGGGTCCTTTAAGACCTGTGGAACTGGCGATGATTGACTCAGGAAATAATAAAGTTAAAAGTGGTGAGAAATAACAAGACAGGACACACAGAATAGAGTTTTCAAAAGTGGGACCATAGGTGACTACTGTTAGCTTGTGGGGTTCCAGTAGGGTTCCTAAATGTTTGTTCTACCCAACTTTTATTGAAGGCTATTTTCTCATTTAGCTGAAAGGGTAAGCTGAGGGAGGGAGTAAAAATGTCAGCAGTTTCTCTGAGTAAGCATGTTAGTTCTTATTCTATGTATAATCATTAACTTTAAGGGCAGTCTTGAGAAATGGGAAACCTGAGCCTTGTGTGGGGGCAGCCTCCTATGTGTGGTCATGCATACAGATTCCTTGGGGGAGGTTAAACCCCTCTAGTTTCTCTGTGGAGCAGATATGGTGATGTCAGTTCCTCTCTGAAGAACTGGTGGAAAAGAGGAATTTTCCCCTTATCTCCACCCAGAGGCTTTTTCCTCCATGGTTAGGGTATAAGCTCTCTTGCCCATATCTCAGTGCTTGAGCTGTTCTTTGTCCTGGCCATAATACAAATACTTTGTTCTCCATCCTGGCCATAATACAAATCCCTGCAATGGGTATTTGCTTTGACTATTGACTGGGCAGAGGACAGCCTAGTTAATGTTCCTTCCCAGGCCTTGCATGTACTTCTATTACAGCCATTATTCTTCAGAGTATTTACAGACCCAGCAAGGGTGTTTGGAAGCTGTACCCCTTACAGGCCAGGCTTCTAGTATAAGCAGAAACTACTCAGACAAGTAATTTAACACCTAGTTTAAAAGTAAGCTGGCTAAACTGTTTTTATTCCACCTTGCTCAGCTTATTTCTCTGTTTTTCCCCCTTTTGAAGGATGTTTTCCCTTTTCAAGAATGGGGTCTTCAGTTCCCATTCTCCCTGCATTGATGTAAATAAAACCACAGAAATAAGTCCACACCAAGACTAATTTCTTCCACAAGCTTCTAATCCCTCTAATGAACAGACCCCTAACAGGTCACTTCTATCATTCCTATTATTTAGCTGTCTATAAATTAGTTATCTCAACTCCCCAGTTAGAATCTGTATTTTCTGACAGAAATAATAAAACTATTCATTTGACAGCTAAGGCAATGTAAAACCACTGTACTGGCTGGCCTGTAGGCTCTGTCAGAGAGATAGACACACTTGTCCTAATTATCATTGTACCTGGAAAACAGACCAGAGGGTTATATTATGGTGATATTTGCTTTCATTCAAGTATGATTCCCGAATCACCTGCCAGAATCCCACACGTGGCAAACTTATAAAGAAAGCTTACTGAAGGTAGATTCTTTCAGAGGGCTGGAACTGGAGCTGCTGGAGTTATCCGAAATGTCCAATTCATCATCAAGCTCTGAATATATATCTGCATATTAATAACAATGAAAGGCAAATGAACCTTGAAACAGAGAGGCGCTAAGAGTGCATTCATGCTGACACCCTTTCACTAACGGTACCTTTCTCAATATTTTCCAGGTTGAAGTTATCCTCCGACAGGATTTCATCACAGGCCCTGTCTTCATCCTTACCACAGGGGGCCTGGAAGCCCTCAGGGGGCAGGTCTGCGCTTTCTGAAAGTTCGCTTTTCAGGCTGGCTGCTCCACTGCTGCTGCTACTCAAGCTTGCTTTCTCAAAGGTTTCCTGGAAAGAGGATTTAACTTTTAATAGCCTCTTTCTCTTTCCTTCCTTCTCTAAGACCCAAAGCCTCTTAGAACATATATCAAAATGCTTAACAGATCACTATAAATATTTTATGCAAAAGTACTATCAATAATTCATCTATACACCTACTATGGAATCTATTCAGTCCATAAATTTAAAGAAAAAGTAGGTCGACAAGCTACGACTGGACAAAGAAGAGTGGATGTGGCAACAGTGCTCAGAATCAAAGGAAAATGTACTTTTGAAAAATAGACTACTTATCAATTTAGCAGAATTTCTCTACTTTAAGTTTTTTCTAAAATATCTGCTATCAAAGTCTCTCAGCAGTATGGTGGATAAGTAAAGTCTTATTTTCTTCAAAACTCAAGGGAAACCAGTAGCAGACAGAGCCGTGGCATGGAGAGTGAGAGGGGAGGTCCTCTACAAGATGAAAAGATGCCGTGAAGGGGCTTCCACACCACCGGGACTCCACACTAGTGCCTGGCTTGAACACCCTGTAGAACTCACCAGGGGAACCTCCAAAATCCTTCAAGACTGACAGGAGCGTTTCTATTATGATAGCATTGCAAGGTCATCTACATTAGATGTGATTCTATATTTCTCTAAAAGGCATTGCTAGAAACTTCAAAACTTATCTCTGAAGGTTCAGTAAGGATAAAGAAGAAAGTATTAATGCCATTGAATGTGGAAGCTTTGGTTTTTCTAAGGAAAGACACTGAGGAAGGAAGGACGTGTGACTCTGCAGAAAGTCATTTCTTTACCCAGGTAATTCTTGACAGCTATGACATTCGTTGCACCCACTTGCAGCAAGTGTAAAGAAACTTCTGAAGCTGTGCGGCTACACAGTGCTGACAAGTCTACAAGTCTAAACTACAGATCAGGTAGACAAAAAAAAACAGGAAGAAAGGCCAGGCCAGAGGAAAGGATAATTATCAAGAGAGCATAAAGAAACAGGAGCACATTTTCTCAGGATGTCTTGGGGCCAGGTGCTTTGGACTGCTGGTCACATGCATTTGGCTCAGAGTAAATATCTTTAAACTTTTTTTTAATCTGCATTTATTAAAGAGGAAAGAATTCCTCTATGAATTGTGTCAGGTTAGTCACAAATTAAGTACCCTTTCTTCACTAAAAGGCTCTAAGGATGAAAGATGCCTATTTGAAAGGCAGGTTTGTGTTTATTTATTTCAGCTATTTTTTCCTACAATTAAAATGACACCCACAGCTTCAAGAGGCAGGTCTCTGAAAACCCCATGGTAGTGGAATTTGCAGATAAAAAAAGTCTAAAACCTTCTGAATAACCAAAGTCAGAAGTAAACCTCTGTAAGCCTTTATGCATTTGTGTTCTCTGAACAAGATGAAAAGACAAAAAAAAAAAAAAAAAAGAAAAAGAATATCAAAATATTTTGTGCACTGCAAACTGTCCAAATCAATTCCTATTTATTATTTCTTTTCCCTGAGAATCTTTGCAGTGTTCCTCTCTTCAGAGTTTCATAAAGTGTCTGCTTTATTGAAGCTAAAATGCACGTAAAGAAGCATTTTAACTTTAATTTTCTGTGACTAGTCCTCCACCCAAGGTTTAAAGTCTATTTTATGACTCTGAATTGTTAATTCCTGCTTCTTAGGCCCACCTTGGTCTGCCAACTTAGAATCTGAGATGAGAAACGCTTTGACTACCCTCCAATAGAGCTGTATGTTTGTCCTCAGAAATTTTTCCAGTGCCTAAGGTTAGTATGTGGCTTCTAATGCCAGACTCAGTTTTGCCCATATCTAACTCAGGACCTCCTTCTCAGACTCTAAAATTTACTATAAAACCCACTCCACCTCTTTCATGTCCTTCTCTTTTCTCTCTCCCAAACCAAAGAATCCTTTTCAAACTACTCTCAATTGAAGTAATTAGGAATTGACATGAAAATAAACATCCAGTTTAGGGCCTTCTTTTCCTTATGCTCTCTTTTGTTCTAAAAAAAGTCATCTCCAGCCTAGTCTAAAGACCACAGCTAACATTTGCAACTTTCTGAAGACTTATATCCAAGATATAGCAATGTTTTCCAGGTTGAAAAAAGACTAAGAATTTTTGAGTAGAGAAAACTTTTTTTTTTTTTTTGCATTGATGCAATTAAGATCCTGGAATCTGACAAGACCAGTATCACCCTGATACCAAAACCATACAAAGACATAACAAAAAAAGGACAATCTGGACTAATATCCCTGATGGACATAGATGGAAAAATCATTAACAAAATACTAGCAGACTGAACGTAACAGAACATCAAGAAGTGATACACCACAATCAAATGAGTTTTATACCAGGGATGCAAGGATGGTTCAACATTTTGCAAATCAATACAAATGTTACATGTACAGTGATAAATCACATAAATAGAAATATAAAAAGAACATATGATCATGTCAACAGACATGGAAAAAGCATAACAAAATTCAATATCTCTTCAAGATAAAAATCCTTAACAAACTAGACATAGAAGGAACATAACTCAAAATAATGAAGGCCGTATATGACAAACCCATAGCCAACATCAAATTAAATATGGAAAAGTTTGAGAGCATTTCCTCTAATATCTGGAACAAGACAAAGATGCTTACTTTCATTCACCACTCTTAATCAATACTAGATCAATACTAGAAGTCTTTGCCAGAGTAGTCAGGCAAGAAGAGAAAGAAATAAATGGCATCCAAATGTAATAGAGGAAGTTAAATTATCCCTGTTTGTAATGATATGATCTTATACCTAGAAAAACCTACAGACTTTACTAAAAAACTCTTAGATCTTATAAAAGAATTTAGTAAAGTGGCAGGATACAAAATTAATGTACAAAAATCAGTAGCATTTCTATATACCAGTAATGTTCTAGCTAAGAGCAAAATCAAGAAGGCAATCCTATTTACAATAACTATAAAAAAATAATTCATTAATTATCTAGGAACATATTTAACCAAGGAGGTGAAAGATGTCTATGAGGAAAACTATAAAACACCAATGAAAGAAATTGTAGGTGATATAAGCATATGGAAAAAGCATTCTATGATCATGGATCACAAATATTAATGTTGTTAATTGCCCAAAGCAATCTAGAGATTCAGTGCAATCTCTATCAAAACATCACTGTCATTTTTTACAGAATTAGGAAAAAAAGTTCTAAAATTCATATGGAAGAAAAAAGAGCCCAAAGCCAAAGAAATTCTAAGCAAAAAGAACAAAGCTGGAAGCATCACCTTACCTGATTTCAAATTATACTATAAAGCTATAGTAACCAAAACAACATGGTACTAGTATAAAAATAGACATATAGATTAATGGAAAAGAATAATGAACCCAGAAATAAAGTCATATACTTAAAGCCAAGGGATCTTTAACAAAGTCAATGAGAACACACATTGGAGAAAGGACACTCTTTTAAATAAATTGTGCTGGGAAAAATTGGATTGCCATATGCAAAACAATGAAACTGGACTCCTGTCTCTTACAGTATACAAAAATCCACTCATGATGGATTAAGGACTAAAATATAAGACCTGGAACTATAAAAATACTAGAAGAAACTCTAGGGAAAAGTCTTCTGCACAAGGGTCTAGGCAAAGAATTTATGACTAAGATCTCAAAAGTGCAAGCAACAAAATCAAAAGTAGACAAACAGAACTTAATTAATCTAAAAACTTTCATGCAGCAAAGGAAATAAACAACAGAGTGAAAAGACAACTCGTAGAATGGGAGAAAATAGTTTCAAACTATGCATCAAATAAAAGACTAATGTCCAGAATCTACAAGGAATTCAAACAATTGAGTAACAACAACAACAACAAAAACAATCCCATTAAGAAGTGGGGAAAGGATATGAATAGGTATTTTCAAAAGGAGACATAAAAATGGCCAGGCATATCAACAAAGGTTCAACATCACTACGTATCATAGAAATGCAAATTAAAGCCACAAGGAGATATCATCTTACTCCAGTCAGAATCACTATTAGTAAAAAGGCAAAAAAAAAAAAAAAAAATACTAGATATCAGCAAGGATGAAAGAAAAGGGGACTCTTATACACTGTTTGTGGGGAATGTAAATTACTACAAACTCTGTGGAAAATAGTATGAAGATTTTTCAAAGAACTAAAAATGGAAGTATCATTTGATCTAGGATTCTTACTACTGAGTATATACCCAAAGGAAAAGAAATCAATGTATCAAAAAGATACCTGCATTCATATGCTTATCACAGCAGTATTCACAATAGCTAAGAAATAGAATCATCCTAAATATCCATCAATAGATGATTGGATAAAGAAAATGCTGTATGTACACAAAGAAATACTATTGTACTATTGTACTAAACACAAAAAGCATGAAATAATGTCTTTTCTAGCAACATGGATGGAATTGGAAGCTATTACCTAAAGTGATAGAAGTTAGACACAGAAAGACAAATATTGCATGCTTTCACAGGAAGTGGGATCTAAATAAGGTGCACACATGGATGTAGAGAGTATGACAGAAAATGGAGACTTGGGAAAGTGACAGGTAGGAGAGGGGTGGATGACAAGAAATTACTTAATGGGTACAATGTAAATTGTTAGCATCATGGGTATCCTAAAAGCCCTGACTTGACCACTAGGTAATATATAGACACGTAACAAAATTGCATTTGTATCCCATAAACACAATCAAATAAAAAAAAAAAAAGACAGTAGAATCCATACATGACTAAAACTGGCAAAACTTCAGCAAAGTCTTTGTCTCTTTTGAGCATAGGCATAAATAAGACATCAAAGGAAGACATTTTTCTTTGAACAAGTAAACAGGAGAAGCTGTGAGTCCTGAAAAAGACAATTCCAAATTGAAGGAGGCTTGACTTGTAACTAAAACCCAAGAACCAGAGAGTTGTGAATCAATAATCAATTGCAACTGCCTAAGTTGCGATTATTTGTGCAAAATCTGATAAAGAGAATTCCCAATTTGATAGAGAT